AAACAAATGGTAAAGAGCAAAAAATGATGCTATATGTTTGATATTATTAAAAGAATTAGCGATGTTTCTCCCTGGAGCAAATTACAAAAAACCAATATTACATGGTTGGTATGATTGTTAATACATTGAATGTCTCAAAAACGATGCAATACAGTCCGTACAACGCCTAGGCTTGCTGAGTATCAAATTATCGAACTGATCTTGGGGGATATTACACCACTCAAAAGGCAATGCTCTCCGAAGTTCCGGTAGACATGTAGGAGGAGGTTGATGGGCTGCAACTCGCCGGCCAAGCACGTCGCACACGTGCTCTACTGGATTCAAGTCCAGTGAGAATGCTGGCCAGTCCATACGGGTGATATCCTCCGATTGAAGGCATTCGCTTACGATGTTCGCACGGTGAGGACGGGCGTTGTCATCCATAAACACAAATTATGCGCCCGTGACGCCCCAAAACAAACGTACATGTTGTTCCAGAATTACGTCCCGATAAATTTGGCTTGTCATGGTTCCAATTTGAACATGCAGGTCAGTTCTGGAACCCAGAACAATTCCACCCCAAACGAGCACTCCTGCACCACCGGTAACGGTGTCGTTCAAGAGATGTTTTCTTGGTGGTAACGGGTACCTGGAGCTCTCTAAATGAAAGTCCGGCGAGAATCAGACTGCAAGCTAAACCTGGACTCGTCGGAAAACATCACACAAGCCCACTGTTGCGGTGTCCACAATGCATGCTCTCTACTGCAGGCTAACTGCAGGCGACAGTAAGTTGCAGTAAGTGCAACGCATCTGACCTGTCTACGAGCATATAGACCAATCTGCCCTAAGCGTCTGTACACGGTCTACCTTGAAATTGTCGTACCAGTCGTTGAAGAGAGCTGACGAGACAGGTCTGAGGATGTGCTCCGCCTGTTTCTTTTGGCAGTAACTGCCAAATACCGGCCCTCATTCGGCGTTGTAACTCTGGGGCGACCTGTGCTGTAACGTCTACTCCCATTACCATCATCTTGGAATCGTTGCCAAAGCCTGGAGATGACACTCTGGGCGATTCCAAAATCGTCTGATACTTCCAGATTGTACGCCCACATTCCAGGCGGCCCATAATTCTACAACGTAAAAAATCATCCAAATACGTTCTTTGTGTCGTAACTATTCGGTTATTGCACTGAAATGCTTATAAAGCGCCTGCGAACAATTTTACTTCATTGCCTGTATTCCTTATATATAACGCTCTTTGTTAGCATAAATTTAGGTATTTTGCATAATGAAACTCGAAAGGCATACGAAACGAACGTGCGCCAAGGTATATATTGGCGAGAGAAAGTAAAGCTCGTGTTCAATGCAGTATATTTGATTTTCACCCTAGCTACTTGTATCTGACCAAAGGTCTAATCCAGTAGTACTTTCTTCTCTTTCAGGTACGATGGCAAAGTATATTCCTGTTTATTTTTCTTATTGCCTAATATAGGTAAGCCTGATGATATTTAGTACTGATGAGGATTCTATGTAAGTTATTCTTTTGAATACTTCAATTTTAATGTCCTTGAACATTATTACTTTTTGTTATGCTTATGTTAAGCAAAATTATCCTATTTTATAAAATAAAGATTTCGTAGTTAATCTTTTGACTTATGATTCTTTAATTCTGTGCTTGAGGAAACATATTCATTACGCCTTCAGTGCTAATGCACAACCAACACTCTTACACTCTCGTCATTGTGACGTATCATCGGTGTCATCTGGTTACTTCCTGAAATTTGCATATGATGCTTGAAGATGTGTGTAGTGATTTTACAGGTGATATATTTATTTTAGAGTTGAATTTCCGCGTGACTCCAAATTATCCTTAATTTATAGACATGAGTGTATATAAAAGATGTGTTTCAAATATCTGTATATTGCCTTTCCAACGAGCAAATGTTTTTCATGTAATCTTTAGTTTATAATAATTATTTATGAACTCTAATGATATTATTGCATATGTTTGTAATACTCCTTTGGAATTGTTTTTTATATGTTTGTTTTGAATTCTGAAACATTTCAGCGTCGTGGAGTGCTTGAGATCGTTACATGTTTACTTTTAAAAAAGGTTAAACATTGTCTTTTTAAAATTGGCAACGAGAGCATAAATTCTAAGGATGTAGTGCTCACTTGTGTTTTTGTTGTTATTGTAATAGCTTTAATTATCATTTGACTTGTAGTTTGAATCTTATAAAACAAATTAATTCCAAGTATTCTTCGCTTAGTAGCACATGTTCCTCTTGGAATACAATAAAGCAGAGAGAAAAGGAAATGTGTGTTAAGTGTTGGATTGAATATTATTCAATGAATGTTCCCCATTTATCTCATTCGAAGGACGAAAAGGTAGGGTTTCAGAAACGTGATTATACAACCATGTATCATTTTCAATATTTAAATCCTTACTCGAGAAAGTGAAGTATTAAAAGAATTTGCTATAAAGATCCTTAGTAAAACATTCTTTGCGATTTCCGCAGTAATAGTACTTAAATGTTTAAGACGTACTTTATATGTCTTCAAAATTGTGCATACGGCTTCTTTCAAATCTTATTTCGTAAAATGAGAACAAGGGAGTTCTGTAATTATTATTGACTAGAAATTAAATAAATTATGTTTATTATGAACCTTGGAATTTGAATTCAGAATAATTACCGAAAATGTGGATTGCTTAGGAAATTCTCATTTTTTTTTCATTTTGTAACATTTTGACTATTTGACTGTCTCTGTCTTCGAGAGTCTTAATTTCTCATTAAAGTAGTCCATGAATCACCTTTCAGGAGACAGCTATCTCTCGAATGCTTTGCTATATAAATAGCTTTGTGTTTCCATTTGCATTTCCAACAAAGTGATGAAAATCGTGTTTTCACTACATTAGTTTATAATAATTTACTGCTAATAAAGATTCCTTGAATCTAAAACAAGTTTTAAAACTAAATCCTTACTCGAGAAAGTGAAGTTTATTAGTTTCAAAATCTATTATTATTAAAAGTTATTTAGTTTCATAATTAAAAGTTATTTAGTTTCATTATTAAAAGTTATTTAGTTTCATAATTGTTTTCATTAACATTAATATAGTTAAAAGTTAAAAAGAAATAGTTATGTTTAATTTTTAGAAAAACAATACAAATTCAAATATTTCATGTTATTACATTAAAATTCGAAAATAGTAAATCCAACTGGAAATGCATTATATATTCGCCGCCTGTCTGTGGCATCGCTTTGTGTCATTTTTCGTAATTTTAGTAGAAAATAGTAAGGTTCTATAAAGCTGTTATGTGTGAATTTTTTATTTTGGGCAGTGATCTTGTAAGGATCTTAAGTTTTACTAACGTTTATTTTATTTTAAATCTTTACTATCACTTCTTATTTTTCTACTTCCGGCCAGAATTAAAAGCGTTAACTTATTTTATGCAAAATTTGTCTGGCGAACGCCAAGTACTTAAGTTGTGGCTTTTTGCCAAGCGAGAGAGAGGAAAGAGAAGTATAATTTAAATGAAGGGATTTCTTCCAGTTATTGTAACTGTAGTTATGTTAATTTACATTTGTGCAGTCTTTGCAAAATATAACTTGATTCATTTCAAACGGAAAATCTTTAAAAAATTGTGCTTAGATTCAAACATGAATTTTGCTATTAAAATTATTCGGAAACATTTTCTGAAAGAATAATAATTGGTTTTGGTATGAAATTAAAAATCTTCTTTTGCTCACTAACGGCAGAGTGATAAGACAGCTGAATACTAGTAATTCAACCCGGGTTCACGTCCCGACGAACGGGCTGGCCCATGTGTAACGTGAATACAAATCAGTGTATCCTTAAACGTTTTCCATGTAAACTTTTCTGTCCATACGCAAATAGCATTGGTGTGCTTTGCCTTACTAAATTAAGCTAAGCTATATTTATGTTGTGTTTGTTATGAATAACGCTACTGCTATACTCTTAAATTCAATATGTTATGCAGTTTCCTAATTAATACTTACCAACTTTTTATTGATTTCCAAACTGAAATGTATAATTAATTTGTTAATACTCTTCAATTTTGAACAAATGGTCAACCGAAGAAGAAAATTGATTTCAAATTATTGTTAATAATTTAAGCTTATTTACTATTATTATATAAAAATTTAGATTTCAATTTATGAAAAATTAAACGATTACAAATAATTACAATTATTACTGAAGATTTTTCGTCCTCGAAATGTAACGAAATATCTTCGTAGGACGTTTAATATTAGTTATGCAAAGAAGGATATTAAAAAATTTAAAATATTTCCTCGTGGTATTTAAAGAATTAAAACATCTCTAAGGTCAATGCCAACTATAAGCCAAAAAATCTAGGAGGTAATAAATAGTCGAGTTATAAACATCAGAAATTCTTATATTTTTGAATTTTTACTATCCAAATCGCTTGCTTTTCTCCTAGGCCAAGCAAATTTAAGTTTGGTGTTAATTTATTCACAAGTTTTAACATTTTCCCAGCATAAATAAGGGCAATTATGTAAACGGAGATTATTTCTCATAAGGATTCTAATAAATCTTTAATGTTTTCGTAATTAAACATTAATTTCTTTGTTTCATTTTAATGAAACAAAAATGTAAACGAGATTGCATTTAGTGTTAGAAACCTACGTAAAAAAAAATGAGTTTTTTTTAAATTTATTTTTACTGAAATATATATAGAATGCATTTTCTGAAATATAGTCGTTTAAACGTTGTAAACTGTGTTTTTGTGGGAGGAAATAATTTACACTTCTAATTAATGAAAGAACTTAGTTTTCTACTGAACCATCATTTGTTCAACGAAAAGTAATTTGATAAGCTAACGAGAGATTAAAGCTCTTATTTAAACGAATTGAATAAGTAACTTTTACATAGCTTTGCTTCAGTTGTGTTTTGTAGATGGACAAAGTGCGACGATTATAAAAATCGAAAAGTAAAATAGACACAAACTATGCAGAATATATTTATTAATTTATTTAACATTCTTGAATTCTTTTCTGTGATTGTATCCTTAAACTTCCATATTCATTAATATATTTATTAATATATTATTAATTTATTTAACATTCTTGAATTCTTCTCTGTGATTGTATCCTTAAACTTCCATATTCCTAGTAAAATAAAATTGCAAATTACTGTAAAATATAGTTAAAAGTTAAAAAAAATAGTTATGTTAATTTTAGAAAAACAATACAAATTCAAATATTGTTATTACTTAATTCGAAATAAAATCCAACTGGAAAGCATATATATCGCCGCTGTGGCATCGTTTGTGTCATTTCGTATTTTATAGAAATGAAGGTCAAAGTGTTATGTGTGAATTTTTTTTGGGCTGATGTAGGATCTTAAGTTTTACTAACGTTTATTTTATTTTAAATCTTTACTATCACTTCTTATTTTCTACTTCCGGCCAGAATTAATAAGCGTTAACTTATTTATGCAAATTTGTCTGGCGAACGCCAAGTATTTAAGTTGTGGCTTTTTGCCAAGCGAGAGAGAGGAAGGAGTTAGTCGAAGCAGGCCGCTTACCTTAGAAGTTTTACTCAGTTGCTGGTTTGCCTTCCAGGCCAGAGGTTTTAATCCTCTTGATAATTTTAAACGTATTGTAGTGTTCACAGTTCTCTGTACTACATACGGCTTCCTGTTAATATAAGGCCAATCTTCCACGTTTATTATTCCAAAAGTTAAGTTAGAGTTTAGTTTATTTTTTATATTCTTACGTTCAGACCACAAGTAGTTGGTCTCTGTATTCCGAAGTACGGAAATTATTGTAAAGAGTGAAAAATAAAGGGTTTTGTATACCCTTCCTGTGTATCCTGTCTACTTCCCACATTTATTGAACATAGCTTTAGTAAGCTCTCTGTTCCGAGTCAGGTCCTTGCATGTTCCCGAAGAAAGTAAGACGGAACATTGAACCTGATAGTGGCGCCCAACGAAGAAGAATAACCATGGCCGAGTTTCAAGAAGAACCTGTGCTGCCTGCAGAAAGCGGCTCAGAATCCAGAAATGCCAGCTGCCGCCCTGGAAGGATTTGGTTACATCGTCCAGACCATGCGCGCTTCGATGAAACCAGAAGCAACATTTAATGGAAACTCACCGGTAACCAGTTTTTTGGAAAAATTGGATGACCACTTCATGCTCTACCCCGTGCACGAGTTTCAAAAAGTTACCTTTACCTTAGCTACCAGCGCTTTGAGGGGCCAAGCGCTTAAACTGGTTCAAATGTATAGGCAGAAGTCTCTTGGGTCAAGCAGGAAGTCCCACCTATACTTACGAAAATTTCAAGACTGCCCTAGTAAAAGCCTTCCCTGTTCGTAAGGGATCGTGCGAAATTAGAAACGGAACTTTTCAGTATATATCAGCCAAGAATCGAAAATCTCTCAAGCTTTATTTTAAGAAAAATTCACGTCTTCAAACTCTTGTATGGAAACCGTCCGGATACTGAGATAATTCAAGTGATTTTGCCGAGGTTACTCCCCAAGTGCAAGACTTTATTGAATTAAGAAATCCGACTACACTGGAAAAGTTATTTGAGCTAGCAATCCAGTTTGAAAGTAGAAGAACGGCGGACATTGAAAGAAGACGCCAATATCAACAACGAAACCAATTTGGTGTGCGCCAAGACCACAGCAAAGTCAAGCACACGGCTACGGAAGCAAAGCGAATCAGTGGGCAAGGAAACCCGAGCATTCAAAAACAGCCGGCGAACGTCGACAGTTCAATAGCAACCCAGGAAAAAAGTCTCAAGGCCAGTGGAAAAAGAAGGAAAGCATGGAAACAAAAAAAGATTTAAACTAAAACGGATTTCTGCTGACGGGAGGGTGCGGAAATCCGAAGGCCAAGAAAAACCCCTCTTCCTTACAAGTTAAATACAGTAATGGTGAAAAATTTGACTCTTCCGAAGATTGAAGTGTTGGTGAATAATATCCCAGCCACCGCACTCCTGGATACAGGCGCGCAGTGTTCCTGTGTGGCAGAAGATTTTTTTAGGAAGTATTTTCGGAAATACCGCATATATAATTCGGATAATACGACAGTGTTAGCGGCGCAAGGAGAAAGATGTAAGTGCATAGGTAAATTACCGCTATACATCCGTATCAAGGACGAACAAGTAAAGGTTATGTTTTTTATAGTAAAGAATCTGCAAGCACATATTATCTTAGGAATAGATTTTCTTTCAGAGGCACAAGCAACGCTGGATTTTAATGAAGCGTCCCTTAAGCTGACGATGAAACCAGTTCGAGAAGAAAAGGCTGAACCGCCGATGTTAAACCTTGACCACCTGCCTAATGAAGAGCAACGAAGAATCCGACAAGTGGTAAGTGAATTTGCTTCGTTATTTAGTGATATTCCAGGATTTACTCAGGTTACTAACCATAGTATTGACACCGGAGATTCAATGCCAGTTCGCCACAAAGCATACCGGTATGATAAGAATAAGGAAAAAAAATTATAGAATGGCATATTCACCGATATGCTACGTAAAAAGATCATAACGCCCATCTCAAGTAGTTATGCTAGCCCGGTGGTTTTATGTAAGAAAAATAATGACTATCCTTTGACACATCCAAAAAGGTGGAGATTCGCGATTGACTACCGTAAATTAAACTCCATAACTAAATATCCGGTATATCCGTTACCTATTATTGAAGAAATTCTAAGGAACATAACATCAACCAAATATATGACGACTTTAGACTTAACGACTGGTTATTTTCAAATAGGGGTTAGGCCTGAGGACGTGCCTAAGACTGCTTTTATAACCAAGTCTGGCACTTATGCATTTTTGCGTATGCCGTTTGGCCTTTCAGGGGCACCGGCAACATTTCAGCGATGTATGGACATTGTGTTAAGGCCTGTTCTTGGAAAGTCCACATTTATCTATTTAGACGATATCATTATTACTAGTGATAATCTCGACCAACATGTACAGGATTTAAGACAGGTGTTTTCTTTATTAAATGAGGCCGGTCTAAAAGTTAATGTCGAAAAGTGCAAATTTGCAGCCCCTGAATTAAAATATTTAGGTTACAAAATATCTCAGAAAGGAATCGAGACAGACGAATCAAAAATAATCGCTGTACAAAAGTATCCGACTCCAAACACGGCGAAGAAGCTCTCTTCTTTTCTAGGACTTTGTTCATATTATAGGTCCTTTATAAAAGATTTTGCAGCTATTGCTGAACCATTGTTAAAATTAAAAAGGAAAAAGGCAAGATTCTCGTGGACGGCCGAAGCCAATAGTGCTTTCGAAAAATTAAAAGCAAGCATTAACGCAAGCCCCTGTGTTGAAATTTCCTGAAAAGGATGAGAATTTAGAAATTTCAGCGGATGCTTCGGATTATGCGGTAGGAGCGGTACTTTCGCAAAATCAGCAGCCCGTGGCATTTTTTAGCCGAACTTTAAATCAAACACAAAGAAACTATTCCGCGACCGAGAGAGAGGCACTTGCAGTTCTGTTAGCAGTGCAAAAGTTCCGAGTCTATTTTGGAAAGGCGCCAATAACAGTGTACTCTGATGATCATGCGGCGGTAACTAGATTGTACTCAGGGAAAAACTTATCCCCAAGGTTAATAAGATGGGCACTCAAGCTACAAGAATATAATCTGGTAATCAAGCATACCCCCGGAAAGGAAAATATCGTAGCAGATGCCCTATCCAAGAATTAAAATAGATGAACAAGGTAATACCGTAAAGGTGGCAATGCTCACAGCATGTACAATAAATTCCCGAGAAACTGTAATAACCGAACTGGGTAAGGATCCTGAGTTTGGAAGCATTTATGAGTATTTAAAGGATCCTGAAAATTTTAGCCACCAAGATATTGTGGCGATAAGAAATAGGGCGGCCCATTACGAACTAATAGATGGTCTATTATTTTATACAAAAACTACGAATTCCAACAACGAATTTCGACCTGTTATCCCAGCTAGTCTTAGATTAAATATCCTGCAGGAGCTCCATGACAGCCCTTTAGCTTCTCATGCTGGTATTCGAAAAACTATCCAACGCGTACGCGAGGCAGTCTACTTTCCTGAACTGCAAAAGTTAACAAGGGCGTATGTCCAGTCCTGCCCAACATGTCAAGCAGTTAATTATATTAATTTCCGCCCGGCCGGGTTTCTAAATAGTATTAAATCCGAATTTCCAAATGAAATAATTGGCATCGATTTATTGGGCCCTTTCCCAAAAAGTCAGTTAAATAAAAGTCGCTATCTCCTTGTTATGGTTGATCATTTTAGTAAATGGACCGAAATTGTTCCCTTAAAACGAGCCTCCGCGAAATTAGTTACTGATTCTATTTTAAATAAATATATTTTAAAATACGGGGCGCCCCTAAAAGTTATATCGGATAATGGTCCTCAATTTGTAAGTAATATATTTGAAGACATGTGCCAAAAACTGGGCATACGTCATTTAAAAATGGTCCCGTATCGGCCGCAATCAAATATAGCGGAACGGGTCAATAGAAATATAGTGAAAATTATCCGTAGTTATGTTAAAAATTTTCATAAAAGCTGGGATAACTATGTCAATGAATTTGCTTTCGCCCTTAGGACCGCAAAACATGATACAACGGGCAAAACTCCTGCTGAGTTTTTTAGGCAGAAAGATTATAACGCCGTTAGATAAATTATTTTATGTGCAACAAAGAGCCCCAGAATTTAAAATGGGTGATATAGAAAAATTAAAGAAGCAAAAAAGAATACTGAAGTAGCACAGAGAAAACAGAAGCTTATTATGACTTGAAACGACGGGGAGTAACTTATAAAGTAGGGGATGAAGTGTTAAAAATTAAGCATTCACTTTCTTCAGCACCAGAAGATAAAACTGCCAAATTTTTTCCACGATTTGAAGGACCATATGTCATAGAAAAAATAACTCACGCTGTAGTAGTGTTAAAAGCCAGGAATGGTGAAACCTGCTCCGCAAACATTGATCAAATCAAACCCTACTATGATCGTAATAAAATGCAAAATTTCAAAGATCTTTTGCAGGATCCGGCACGGCAGACACCGCAGGCACAAGCTCCAGAGGTGGAACAACGACAAGTACAAGGGCAAGCCATTAAGAGGCAGGAGCAAGTGAAAAGAAAGTTTCCCCGCGGAAAATTGAAGGTAACAAGAAAAAGAAGCCGTTCCACCGTCCAGAAAAGAGAGCTCACGAACACCCCAGAATGAAGAAGGGAGAAGGTACGACGAATGAAAAGAAAGCCAGGAGAAATGACGGCAACTATAACCCGGCTCCCAAAACGGAAGATCTACTCATCCGGACAGGACTCTCCGCAGCAAATGTCGCCGAACTGCGGAAGGGCCACCAGCGGCGGAGGAAAAGTTACAAGGAAAATTTGAACGGCCAGCAACGAGGTCCAAGCAGGAACACGAAAGAAGTTTCCCGGTTCCGCCAAGACCAGCTGCCACCTGCCATCAAACGGCCAAGACCACAGGCAGAGGCGAAAAAGAAGGTATTCAAGGGTGACCGAACTGGAGAAAAAAAGAAAGCTTCTAGAGGAAGGCACTGAAGGGCGAGCCCGCACAAGAAGGAGGATAAATCAAACTAGAATCTGCGCTACCTTCCAGGACTGGGCTCAGAAAAGAATGTCCGAATATCACAAAGATAAGTAAAATTTTATGTTACTTTGCAAACTTAAGTTAATCTTTCATTCTTACTGCAAGTGGCAGATTTCAAGAAGTTTTACCTCATGCGAGGTCTACCTTTATCGCCAAAAAGGCGAGAAATGAGTTGTTACCGATTTTGGTATTATGTTTTTCAATTACTCGCGCGTAAAACTAAAGTTGATGTATAATAGGAATGTGTAAAGACTTAAATATTGTAAAAGTTATTGTATAAATTTTATTTAAAACATTCTGGCAAGAAAGAAGTTTTAGTCTGAAAGACTTTTTGAAATGTAGTATTTCAATGTAGAAAGAATTGGCACTTGCTTTGAAAAGAATAGAAGTTAACAATGTACTACTAATGTATGTTTTCAAATGCGTAAAATTAACGGCATGTTAATATGTTCTTATATACAATGTGAACTGTTATTTTAAATGTTAAGAAATACGTGATATGGTAAAAGTGAAAGTAATGCCAAAAATTTTAACTTATTCGTGTGACTAAAAAGACCAAATTATGGTGAATATGTGTTAAAGGTTGAATGAATGTAGTTAGGCTCTCTGACGCTACACTTCAGAGTTAGCCACTTTCAGAATAGTACCTCAGGGTTTAGAGTTGAAGATTAGGGTGTGTTAAGAGGTCTCGTATGTTGAATTTTAACACGTTAGTGTTTTGATTGTAGGAGGAAGTGTTGAACACGTATACATAAACACATTCGTGTTTGGTGTTCTTTTACAACACATGTCAGAGAGCACGGGGAGAGATAATTAAAATAGTCATGAATGAAATAAGAATGTTAAGAGAAATATAAATATGCATGTTACTTGCCATTTCATTGTGTAACATTTCATTAAACTAGTTTTCCTTCCAGATCTCTGGAAGGAACCAGATTTGAATAAAAGCTCCTGTTTAGATGCAGTACAGATGAAAAATTGGGTGTCCATGGAGCTGCTATTGTAAAAACAAATTTTTTTTTTTAAATTTCTAGTTTCTAGTGAGAAATGTTTGTAAAAGATTGGCCTCGCGTTAGATTCTAGAGCTAAAAGTTTTCAACAAGGTCGTTTTAGACCTCAGTTTCAAACTAATTAACTCTGGCGGGAAGTATGTAAGGATCTTAAGTTTTACTAACGTTTATTTTATTTTAAATCTTTACTATCACTTCTTATTTTCTACTTCCGGCCAGAATTATAAGCGTTAACTTATTTATGCAAAATTTGTCTGGCGAACGCCAAGTACTTAAGTTGTGGCTTTTTGCCAAGCGAGAGAGAGGAAGCAGTTAGTCGAAGCAGGCCGCTTACCTTAGAAGTTTTACTCAGTTGCTGGTTTGCCTTCCAGGCCAGAGGTTTAATCCTCTTGATAATTTTAAACGTATTGTAGTGTTCACAGTTCTCTGTACTACATACGGCTTCCTGTTAATATAAGGCCAATCTTCCACGTTTATTATTTCCAAAGTTAAAGTTAGAGTTTAGTTTATATTTTATATTTTACGTTAGACCACAAGTAGTTGGTCTCTGTATTCCGAAATACGGAAATTATTGTAAAGAGTGAAAAATAAAGGGTTTTGTATACCCTTCCTGTGTATCCTGTCTACATCCCACATTTATTGAACATAGCTTTAGTAAGCTCCCTGTTCCGAGTCAGGTCCTTGCATGTTCCCAAAGAAAGTAAGGCGGAACATTGAACCTGATAATCTAACATACGTAATATATTTGCATATATAGGAAGTGATGTTATACAGCTAATATATGCGCAGCATTCTGGGCAACCGTATTTTGAAATATATGACTAGAAATTACTTTGCCATGTTTTATATGCTGTAGGCAATGTTTACAATACTAAACAAGTAGCTGAAAGATGCAGCAGAAAAAAATACACATTCCTTCTGTTGTCTCAGTAGCTAATAAAAATTCTTGCTATTTACGCAGCCTTTCAGTACCCTTGCATTGCTGCTTGCATCTTCCCGGTCTGAAAATTGGGAACTCTACTGCACACATTTATTATAAAGTTATTCAGTAAGATTGAGTATGGAAATATGCACTTCCATAAATCGAAATTCTCCACATTTTATTCTATTATTCAAATGCAAATATTGTTACTGATTAATTTGTGCTAAGTCCAAATACTTTTAAGTGCTTTTTACGGAGATTTTCAGCAAAATATATGGTAGGTCTACTCTAGAGACAATGCTTATAGCAATTTAAATTACTTCAGAATTTTCTAAGCTGCCTTTACCTTAAAATGTTGTTGAAAAATCTTTTGTGAAAACAAAACCCTTAACCGACTGTTGGGGAGAGAAAGTAAAACATATAATTTTCCAAGTGATCATGCTAACTTCTGTAAACTTAAATCGTAAAACTATATTTTCTGAAGAAGTAAATCCAAAATTAAGTTGTATTCATAAGAAAAAAGCAAGGCAAAACATATAAACCTAGTTAACCCAATTCAGTGTTGTTCCTAATTTTAATAATAGAGACGTTTCTAATCAATTAAATAGAGTCAATGAATACTGAATTACATTCTTTATTTGAATAATATAATTTTATCTTCAATATTCCAACTCTGGTAAAGTAATTAAAAAATATTTGATAATATTTGAAACAACAAAATGTACCAAATAATATATGAGTTAAAAGTGTAACAGAAAGTTTCTTTATTCTGGAAATTTTTAATTTTTTACTTGCAAATAGATATTACATCTTTGTAGATTTTACATCATCTACAAAAATATTTGATAATATTTGAAACAACAAAATGTACCAAATAATATATGAGTTAAAAGTGTAACAGAAAGTTTCTTTATTCTGGAAATTTTTAATTTTTTACTTGCAAATAGATATTACATCTTCAGACATAATAGAAATTTCATATTATTTCCAAAACTGATGGATATATTTTAATGGAATTTTATGGACACATGTCGATACAATAAAAAGTACCATTCAACTATCATTTTTCGCTTTCATGATCCCGTCTAAAGCACATCGGTTTTGCAAAGTTTAAAACAAAGCTAGAATAATTGAGAGAAATACGCTATAGTTTAAGAAAACGTTAATTGCACAAAATTAACGATTGCACTTACTAACCGAAAGGATATTTTACAAAGGTCGTTGTGTTGGAGCCGGTCCACGATAATAATGTTTAATATACGCATTCGTGCAGGGTCTGTAACAGCAGTCATTGACGGCCCCTCTTCTACGAATTTTGTGTTCATCAACTGCGCGACTTTCACCGGAGAGCCATGCCAGTACTGGATCTGTTTAACGAAAAGAAATCAGAATTTAGTTTTATGAATGAAATTATGAGACATATTAACCATAATTCCTTTTAACTCCAGATTAGAGGAAGGTAAGCTTCAGAAAACAATTTTAAAGCACGTAACTAATTGACGGAAATTAACCCCGAATCACTATTTCTTATTAGTAATAAGTAAATGTTATAACACTAAGTCAACCATTCGGACCTCAAAGTAATCCATATTTTATTAGAAATTCGTGCTTGAATTCCAGATAACATATGGATGTTTGAGATTATAGGCTATTTTAGAAATGGAAACAGAATTTTTCACTGCGAAATTCGTTCTGAAAAGTTAGTGCTTCGTAAAGGGAGAAAAGAGATCTTCAAATTCCGTATTTCAGAAAGTCGCAAAAGTACTCTAATGTACACTGAAGTGCCATTGAATTAGGGATAGCAAGTCAATAATGAGTTGAGCCTCCTCTGGACTTTATAATGGCTGCCAAACGACGAAGCGTAGATTCAGTATTTCTGGATGCATTCAGCGGGAATGGCTTGCCAAACATCGGATAGAGCTGTCTATAATTTAGGAAGAGTCGCTAGTGTTGTGTAATGAGGCTTCAAACCTTTCTCCAAAACGTCCGAAACGTGCTCAGTAGAATTTAAGGCAGGGCTTTTAAGTAGTGAATTTATGACAGAGAAGTTAGAGGAACCCTCATCCAACCAGGCAGTAGCCAAGCGGGACCTGTGAGAGGTGCAGTCATCTTGCGGGGATACTCCATTTCTGTGTTAATAACAGGACAACATAAACGGATGGAGATGATCGCCCAGCAATTCTACGTACCGAATCATATTGAGGGAGGTTGGTACAAGTACCAAAGATCCCAAACACTGCCAAGAGAAAACATCCCAGACCATGATTAAGCCACCATGGCCTTGTACAGTTCCAATCTGCCGTACAGGGTTCATGGCTTCATGGTCTTCCGTACAGGGTACAGGGTTCATGGCTTCTTGAGTCTGATGCCATATTCTCAACCTTCCATCGGTATTAATTAGTCGGAATCGTGACTTATCACTCCTTGCTACTCATTTTAAGTCCACTAGAGTCTATTCTCTGTATTCTCTTGCCCAGGCAAGAAGTGCAGCTCGATGACATGCATTCAGCAAAGGTACTCTCGTGGGCTACGGCTTCCGAAGCCCATGTGGTGAAGCGAGCGTTGCACGATCCTTTTAACCCACTGTACGACTGTCGCCCTGATTCAGCTGGCTGGTAATTTGAGCTAATGTTTGGCTTCGCTGACTATGTACAATACAGCTGAGCCGTCTCATCCCACACTTGTTCTAGGTTAATTGTCCTTTGCAATTTGCCTGATCACTAGTTCTTTTTCCCACCATCCGTGTATTCTCGGTATACTCTTGACACTGTCGACCTTGAAAATCTTAGCCTGCTGAGGATTTTGGATATTGAATCGCTCATGTATTGAGTGTCTGCTATCTATCCGACATAGAATCTGTCTAAATCAGAAGGTTTACTCATACTGGTTATTGAAACGACTGATTAACAACAACCGTAATTACTAGCTGTATGTGCATTTACCACAACTTCCTCACGTGAGCACAGATGCCACACATCTCTATAAAATTTGCATAGCCATGTCTATCCCTATTCAATGGCACTTCATTGTGTATCTATCTGCGCATGGTCCACATATATGTTATTAAACTGTTGAAATTGAGGAATACTTGTTATCCGATTCTTCCCTCACAAGTTCATCACAATGTTTATTCAATAATCGGTTCTTCTTTATTGTTGACAAATATTTCAAAAGCTAAAAGTATTTAATGAGCAAGCTGTTATTCTAGTAGTATATGAATGATCTCGATTAAAACTAGACTACGTTGCTACTGTAAAAGGGGAAACACTTTTCAAATTGTTGTCTCCAAATATTATCGCCCTGTGCTATATTTAAACAAATTAAATAATGAAGAATCTCCATATATGTATGCATGTTGAAAAAACGACGGTATATTCATCAGATTTTGAATAACTTGGTCCTTCTTGCGCACTTGGAAACCTGAATTTTGAATTTTACATTTTATAGTTCATAGTTTGTAAAATTTTAATGAATTTTTTTATGAAGAAACTTAAATTTCAAAGCGAGAAGTGGCAACACTGTACGGAATAAAACATTTTTTTCTTCAGCGCGTGAAACTGTATTGAAAATTCTAAAGATACGCTTTTTTAACTATTTTGGGATTTTGCTGTTGAATTGAATTTTATGGAGTGTAAATGATGTTTAATAAATAAAGTAAACACACAAAGGTTAATAATAAAAAGACAAAAATTTTGTAAAGCCGTTTTAGAAAGAAAACTGAACATTGATATAATGCACTGAGGGAAAAACTGAAAAAAAATATAGAAAAGTGTGTGGCAACACTGTAACACTGTATCGGATATACTAAACATATGCTGATATGCTACTTCCGAAATTTTTGTAATTTTACTGTTGTGGTGCATATGGCGTAAGTGCGATGATGCTTAGCAATAAAAGTAAAGAGATTCAAAAATGTGTTAGCAAAAAGGAGTGAATGTAGCAAGAGATGGATAGATTGCGAACTCAGCGAAAACATCAAAAATATTAACGAATCCTTTTGGGCAATGGTTAAAATCTGAACCCTTTCAGATTTTTTTAATATTTTTCTTTATTTAAATATTCTAAAAGAACAATGTTTTCTTCTTTTAGGTCTTTATTACAATAATTAATAATAATTTATTTATTATTAATTAATAATGTAAAGATTGCCAAAAGTGCTTAAGAAGCGTGTTTGCTTTAGAAGAACCGTAGTTCAAATGTTGTTTAGTGAGAGCAATTTTGCAGTAGATTTCACTGGCTTCAATTGTAGAAAACAATGCAGCAGATTTCCTGCATTTCGCAAATATGCAAAATTCTAATTAATTGATTCCTTGTCTTGAAACTTATTATTTTCCTGGTACTACAAAATTAAATTTGCTGGGAATTTGTTTATAGGCTTTTATTATTTTCCTTCGATTTAAATAACATGTCAGTAATAAGTAATAAAATGGTACCTCAGTATACGTCAGTAACCCGTTCCAGATCCTAGGACGTACACAAAACTTTCCCAATAAGAAATAAAGGGAAAATAATTAATCTGTTAATATAAAAAATCATTTTATTATTACTGTAACACTGTTTAAATCTAAAATATATATACAGTGGGTGCAATACATATAGTACGTAAATGAAACACTGCAAGTAATACTGTGCATGAAACCTTTCTGCTATCCGCAACACGAGGAATTTTCCAACATACGCTAACATCTTTGTTTCTGTATGGTTAGCGATTTCACCCTATTCGCAATTTTAGCCAACTTATTTGATTTTCACAGTCGTAGACATAATCGTACTTGGCATATGGTATGCAGTGGAGGAGATCCGGATACGCATGCCATCTTCATACTTCTCAACAATCTCCCTTTTTTAACCTCCATAGTGATCCTAATAATTTTCTTTTTTGCTTGACTCTTTACATTACATTTTCTTTTTCTTTCAGTTCATCGTTAATGAATTTACAAAACCTTTATACTTAAAAACACTCACAAGTGTAGTGCGTTAGTCGGCGCTCATCTAACTCGAGCAATATTCCAAGCAAATATCGTATACCAAATAAAAATGTTCGCGTGCAGACGGGAAGTATACAAACCTGGTTGTATTTCAAAGCGGATGTCTACCGAGGTAACAATGTACAATCAAATATGCATCTTCGAAAGGCAATTCCTTATATTTTTTCATTAAGATGTATTTGTACAACACTTAAAATAAATAACATTTGGCAAACATATAGCTGACCAACACTTATATGATAGCAATTACTTAGCATGTACTGACCAGTAGTTCTCAACTCGGGCGCAGCCGCTTTCTTAAGAGAACGCCTTAGCTCGCGACATTACTCAGTCTTCTAGTGATTTCGCAATTCAGATTTCTTTTTCATTCGTTATTTCTAACTTCTTTGTCTCTCGATATCTAAAGTTCTCAGACGGCAATTTGAAGCGCAGATTAGCGAGCTATTTTAAATAATTATGTTTTGTATTTGAGATTGTATTTTATGTAAAACTCTCCTGAATATTTGAAACAAACATTGTACGTATGTAACTTAGAATTCGTAATTCAAAATAGCATATTTAATACGACATTTTTTTTTAATTTGTTCCTCATTTTTTGATCTGTAAGAAATTTGTTTCAAAATGAGAAAGAAAATGCATTTTTTATTCTGATTTGTTGAGGAGTCTAAATCTTTGAAGTATTGGTAGTATTGAATTCGCAGATATGTTGGTATGTAGGTGAAGACTTAATGCTGAAACCTTATAGATGACATTATGGTTTATCTAAGATAAATTAGATAAGGTTTCTTACGCTTCGACGTGCAGTAGAAACTCATCTCTCCTATTTCTTGTGAGGCGTTATTTCCACAGTTAATGCTTATCTGGAATCCTGTTACCCACTTGCTTTGTTTTAAAATATGTATACATCCATTCTGTTACGATTAAAGAAATACGCTAGAACCTACAGTATATACTTTTTTTTTTTTTTTGGAAAGAGATATTTCTAGTCGTGTTAGGAAATTTCAAATGTAAAAAAAAAAAGTATGGCTTACCTATAAAGCGTTTCCTTTTCTGATTGTCCGGTGTGTAGTACACTCCATCGCAGACCGCTGAAAACCTGTTTTCCAGCTGATCCCCACAACTTTGTAAAGAAGTGTACTCTCCAATTGTCAAATAAAAATTTTGTGTTGTTGAAATTGGAGTAATGCTGGAAGTTTCTGAGAGAGAATTTTCGACAATACCACTCTCACGTTTTGTCAGGACGGCTCCTTCGTTCCATGAGACAAGCGTCATCAAAATCACGCTGATTAAGAGAAATGACCTAACTGACCTAATCGTATAAAGAACACTTGATAAATAAAGGTTTGTTTCAGTTTCTTGCTCACGGTAACGTTCACTTAGAAAACAAACAGATTACTGGACTATTCCAGCAAAACATTTAATTTTTAAAAGCATAAGCCAGCTAATGCAGTTGTTCTCCCTGTTATTCAGATAAAAAGTATATGCAGATATTACATGGATATTATTAAGGAAAAGATTCATGTAAGGTAGACTTTTCAAACTAAAACAATTCCGTTTCATCTAACCAAGAAAATAGTAATTGGTTTGAATTGGCTTCCATTAAATAACAATTTGGGCGGGGAAAGAGAAAAATCTGTTTATATTATGCAAAAATGGTCTGGTTTAAAAAATTATTGAATTTATATGACTTAAAACCTAATCTTTCATTGAAACAAATGGCATAAACATCTATTTAGGAATTGCATAAAAGTTTGGATTTCATTAAATACAAAATGTGAATCTAACGTAACAAGAGCTAACGTAATAATACCAAAAATACATACAAATCACTACATTTTTAAAGCGAGTGTTTGCTTTCGACATTTGAGTTCAACAACGCAGTATGTTTGGCAATATACTCACCTTAGAAATATTTGTATAAGGTGTTTAAATTTTTAAAGCCTGGTGGTTTCATTTATATGAAAATAAGACTTCTGTTTGGTTTGACTAATTTGGCTATTAAAAATAATTCTCATAATGATAGTATTTTCTAAGCACCTGAATATAATGTAAGAACGGTTTATTTTTGTTAAAATGCCTCGTACAATAAAACTACCTTGTCTCACCCATTTTTTAAATCAGAAACTCGAGTCTGCAACTAGCTATTTTAAAACACATTGCAAGGCCACATGCACGTGTAATACTATGAAATATAAACCTCAAATTACCAAACATTTTTGCATAATTTCAGTTTGTTGCCAATTTGCGTCTTTTTAAATTATGTAATTTTCCAACATGATTTACTGGAAGCAATACATTTCAATTATATTTTTAGTCCAAAGAGGCTTCGTCCCTGAATGACTATTATTTTCGTTTTGCGATTTTGCGTTGGTTCACTATAAATATCCGTTTTACTTTTCAAACTGTTGCCACCAAATAATACGAGTCCTGAATTGTATTTGAAGAAATTGAATAATGAAAAATCTGCATAAATGTATGCATATTTCTCGCATTGTGATAAAACATCGGTACATAGAGCTTTCGAATTTTGAATGATGTAATCCTCCTACGAATATGGGCATGTGAAAGACCAAATTTGAAATTTGGAATTTGTTTTATTATCGATTCCATATTTTGTAAACCTTTAACGAATTTTTGATTAACAAACTTAAGAATTTCAAAGCCAACAATGGCAATCCTCTACAAAGAAAAAAAAATTATCTCCAGAGCGCGGAACTGTGTATCGAAAATTCTAAAGAGAGTCTCATTTTAAAATTATTTTGCGTCATTGCTATTGAACTGAACTTTCAACGTACCATATATACTGGCGTATAAGTCGAGATATTTTTTGGACAAAAAAAAAAAGACTTCAAAGTGGGGGGGGGGGGTCGACTTATACGCGGGCCCATAAAAAATTAAAAGAATCGGAAGTTCAAAAATTTCTTTATATAATGCAGTTTTCTTTTTCTTCCCGCACTCAAATTGGACGAATTATCAAATATCACTTACTTGATGTAATTTCTGACTTAAATTATGTGACGAACTATCACAGAGTTTCATCTTAACTAGAGTAAGTTTAAAATCATTTAAAAATGTTGTATTAGCAACGAAGTAGACGGCACGGAAGATGATACTGTTTTTGAAAGTGAAAATGACGACGAAGGCTCTAGTAGTAATTGTAACAATACAGAGTTCTAGACTGAAAATATGTAGGATGACGAGCCAATGACGACAGAAGAGTTCTATGAAATGTTTGGCGAATCTGACTATGCATCAGACGTTGAAGGATTTTGATTTTGTTTATTTACCAAGGTATTTTCTATTGTATATTTACTTTTTTTCTCAGATGATTTTGAATAATGTAGTACTTAAAAAAAAAAAATTTCGAAGTTCTCGATCGATTCGGAAGTGGGGGGGGGGGTCGACTTATACGCGGGTTTCTTATTTTCTACGAATTTTTTATATCGAAGTGGAGGGGTCGACATATACGCGGTATCGACTTATACGCGGGTATATACGGTAATTCAAAATCTGAAATTTTCAGAATTTTTTGTAATTTTTGTTGTTGTTATTGCTGCTGTTTATTAATATTTACCGTCAGTATTGAATATTCCATATTTTTTATTTTTCTTTTCAATTTTGGGATAGAATATAGCTGTTATTAGTCCAAAGGGGCTTTGTCCCTCAAGGACTATTGCTTTCGTTTTGCGATTTCGCGTTGAATCACTATAAATATCTGTTTCACTTTTCAAACTGTTGCCACCAAATGTTAGAGTCCTGCATTATATTTGAAGAAATTAAATAATGAAACATCTGCATAAATGTATGCATATTTTCCGCATAGTGATTAAGAAAAAACGGTACATAGAGCCATCGAATTTTGAATGATGTAATCCTCCTACGAATATGGGCATGTGAAAGACCAAATTTGAAATTTGGAATTTGTTTTATTATCGATTTCATATTTTGTAAACCTTTAACGAATTTTTGATTAACAAACTTAAAATTTCAAAGCAAGCAAAGGCAATACTCTACGAGGAAAAAAAATTATCTCCAGAGCGCGGAACTGTGTATTGGAAATTCTAAAGATAGTCTCATTTTAGAATTATTTGCGACATTGCTATTGAAATAATTATTATGGTTTAAGTGCAAAGAAAGGGATATTTAATAAATAAAGGTAACACAAATCGCTCCTTTCGACGTAATTCAAAATCTGTAACTTTTTTGTTGTTGTTTATTAATATTTACCGTAAGTATTGAATATTCAATATTTTTTATTTTTCTTTGCAATTTTGGCATAGAATATAGCTGTTATTAGTCCAAAGGGGCTTTGTCCCTGAAGGACTATTGCTTTCGCTTTGCGATTTTGCGTTGAATCATTGTAAGTGTCCATTTCACTTTTTAAACTGTAGCCACCAAATGTTAGAGTCCTGCATTATATTTGAAGAAATTAAATAGTGAAAAATCTGCATAAATATATGCATATTTCTCGCATTGTGATTAAGAAAAAACGGTACATAGAGCCATTGAATTTTGAATGACGTAATCCTCCTACGAATAGAGGCATGTGGAAGACCAAATTTGAAATTCGGAATTTGTTTTATTATTGATTTCATATTTTGTAAACATTTAACGAATTATTAAATAACAAATTCAAGGATTTCAAAGCGAGCAATGCCAACACTCTACAGTGGGAGAAAAAACCTTTCTATCTCCAGCGCGCGGAACTGTGTATGGGAAATTCTAAAGATACACTCATTTTAAAATTATTTTGCTACATTGCTATTGAACCGACTTTTATGGTTTAAGTGCAAAGAACATGATGTTTAATAAATAAAGGTAACATTCAAAATGTTAAATAATCGCCCCTTTGGACGTCATTTAAAATCTAAAAACCTTTAAGTTTTTTTTTTTTTTTTTTTTTTTTTTTTCTCCTTTTGTTATCTTCCTTTTCAAGTTTCTTTTTCTTTTTTTTTTTTTTTTTTTTTTTATTCCGAAGGGACTTCGTCCCTGAAGGACTACTGTTTTCGTTTTGCGATTTTGCGTTGGTTCACAATAAATGTCCGTTTCACTTTTCAAACTGTTGCCACCAAATGTTAGAGTCCTGCATTACATTTGAAGAAATTAAGTAATTAATCTGCATAAATATATGTGTTTTCTCGCACTGTGATAAAACATCAGTACATAGACCCATCGAATTTTGAATGATGTAATTCTACTGCGAATATGGGCATATGGAAGCCCAAATTTGCAATTTGCAATTTGTTTCATTATTAATTTCATATTTTGTAAATCTTTAATGAATTTTTGATTAACAAACTCAAGGATTTCAAAGCGAGCAATGGAAACGTTGTACAGAAAAAAACATTTTTATCTCCAGTACGTGAGACGGCGTATCGGAAATTCTGAAGATATGCTCAATTTAAAACTATTTTGCAATATTGCTCTTGAACCGAATTTTATGGTTTAAGTGTAAAGAACATGATATTTAATAAATAAAGGTAACACACGAAACGTTAAAAAAACGCCCCTTTTGTACGTAATTTAAAATCTGAAGCTTTTCAGACTTTTATTTGTGCGTGTATGTGTATATACGCTTCAGAATTTGATCTAAACAAAAAAATTCTCAAAGCGTATAACTTTGCTTTCGTAATTTTTTTTATAAAGTAACATTTGGAGTAATTTAGATGAAATATTTATTAGAATCTCTACATATAACAAAAGAAAGAGCCTGTCTGTCTGTGTGTGTGTCTTTCGTTCGCGCTGCGCGTAAACTAATAAACCACGGCTACGAAATTTATTACATAGGTGCATCTAGACAAGAGCCAGTGCACCTCGATGCGATTTTTCAGAAATTCGAATTCGAATTTTATATTTCATGTTTTGTGACGAAATCGCGTCATTTTGAGACATAATGGGCTTATAGGAAAGCGAGATTTTACTCTACACACACCATTTTCACATTGTCATGAAACGTAGGCACTTAGCTATTTTACGAACTTAAAATAAATTCCGTGTTTCAATAAATCGTTTCAATACGAATTTATTTAACAAAGGGAGCTTAACACCTTTTCAACGAGATTTTTTTTTATTTTATTTTTTAAAATGTACTGTTTATTTTTCTTTGATTTTTGGACGCGTTAAACTTTCATCCTTGCGACTGCTTTTCGCAAAAGAATTTTGGAAAAATGATAATATTTTGTATTTTAAAAAAATTTTTTAAATGAAGCTTCCGAGTACACATCTCACATCTTTAAAAATGTGATTTTGGCAAAAATTTTCTTTCTTATTTTTGTTGATAGATTTTTGATGAAATCGTATCATTTTGAATAGTTTGATTTTTTTAGAAATATGGGTTTGTCAACAATTTTTCATCGTATTTCTTATGTCACTGTTTTTAAGAGATTGGCATATTTCATTGCCATTTTTTATATATATAATACATTTTTATTGATTTGTTTTTTTTTAACAGTTGTTCTGCAGAGTAAAATTCTGCGCGGAATATTCTGTTTTTTGAGTTTCTTTCACGTTATTTTTTGCTTATTTCACTGTTTGTAAGATATTGAAAAGTTTTGCATGGTTTGTTTTCTTCAACGGAAAGTTGGTTAATTTTTTTTATATGCAATATATTTTTTTTATTTGTGGGAGTTTTTTTTCGGAAGTTTTCTGCAGAGTAAAATTCTGCGCAGCTTTTTAAATTTAACGTTTGGTGTTCCTTTCAGGCATTTTTACGGTACATTTAAAAGCCAGACGAAGGCTGGCAGCGTAGCTGCTAGTCATCTATAAAGCAGGTAAAGATTTTCACGCATGCCGACTTCAATCTGCAAAAATATTTTAGCTGATCTGAAATACTACAAATTTACACATGACTCAATGCAACGAGTTGTTTTTGAGGTAAAAATCAAAAGGATGGCCAATATCAAAAGGGTTTTTGAGGTAAAAATCAAAAGGGTTCACCTGATTGATTTATCTCAGAAGGAAAATAAACCAACTCTTGTATTAATACAAGGATTAAAGGCTTCTTAGAAAAGAGAACAATTCTATAAATC